CAGACAGGACACGGGGGTGCAGACGGGACAGGACACGGGGGTGCAGACAGGACAGGACACGGGGGTACAGACAGGACAAGGGGGTGCAGACGGGACACGGGGGTGCAGACAGGACACAGGGGTGTGGACAGGACAGGACACGGGGGTACAGACAGGACAGGATACGGGGGTGCAGACAGGACAGGACACGGGGGTGCGGACAGGACAGGACATGGGGGTGCGGACAGGACAGGACATGGGGGTGCAGACAGGACAGAACATGGGGGTGCAGACAGGACAGGACACGGGGGTGCAGACAGGACAGGACACGGGGGTGCAGACAGGACAGGACACGGGGTGTGGACAGGACACGGGGGTGCGGACAGGACAGGACACGGGGGTGTGGACAGGACACGGGGGGTGCAGACAGGACAGGACACGGGGGTGTGGACAGGACACGGGGGTGCGGACAGGACACGAGGTTCAGATAGAACACAAGGTACAGGTGGAACACGGGGTGGGGTACAGGCAGGACACGGGGTGGGGTAGACAGGACACGGGTGCAGGCAGGACACAGGGTACAGGTGGAACACGGGGTGGGGTACAGGCAGAACAGGGATGGGGTACAGGCAGGACACGGGGTGGGGTAGACAGGACACGGGTGCAGGCAGGACACGGGGTACAGGTGGAACACGGGGTGGGGTACAGACAGGACACGGGGTACAGGCGGGAGGCGGTGCGGGCGGGACGCGGGGTACGGGCGGGACGCGGGTGCGAGTGGAGGGGAGGGTTGTCTGGAGGCCAGTGGCTCTTGTAGCCTCAGGCAGCACGCGTACCCCCTCTTCTGGCCTGCAGGCCCCAAGTCCCGGGGGGAGGGCTGGACAATGGGCCCAGCACAGGTGAGCAAGGCAAGGGTGCAGGCGGTGTCCGTAGGGTGGAGTCTGGAATTCTGTGTCTGTTTTCTATTATTGAGTACCAAGGACGGGGAATGATCCAATCCAGGTTTTAAACCACAGACGTGCTCTCCCATCCCAGAGGCTGAACTCTGACACGGGGCCATCTGGGGTCCAGGGGGCGCCTCCTGCCTTCTCCGGCCTGGGGCTCCCATCTGTGTGTCCATCTTTCCGTGGCCTCTCCTTTGTCTAAAAGGACACGGCTGTTGGAGGCAGGGTCCACCCAGGTAATCCTGGATGGTCCCACTTTGAGACCCTTCACTCGCTCACCTGCTCAGGTGCATTCTCTCATTTTAGAGCTGGGGCAGGGTGGGGACAGGGCCTGCACAGCCCCAGGGGAGGCCCCAGCCTGCTGTGTTCCTCAGGCTCCTGCAGTGGCTGGGGGAAATCACACTACAGGACGTTTGACGGCACCTCCTACTCCTTCCTGGACAACTGCGCCTACATACTCATGCGAGAGATCCGCCCTCAGTGGGGGAACCTGAGCGTCATTATTCACAACCACTACTGCGGGGTAGCCACCAACGGCCCCTGTCCCCGGGCCCTCCAAGTGAACCTCGGATCCACAGAGATCATCCTCACCACCACGACCACGGTCGGCAGGAAGGAGGAGGGCCTGGTGAGTGTGTACGGCAGTCTGCAGCCTTTCCGGCACAGAGGCCCGGAGGCCAAGTTGCAAACTGAGGGCCTAGGTGTGGTGGTGACCAGGGCAAAGGCTAGGTGCCCCCAGAGACCAGGATCTTGTGCCAGAGGCGGTCCCCAGGGGAGCCACGGAGGCTGGGGATGGGCGGCCAAGGAAGAACACCCCTGAACAGCCGAGCATGTGACCCGGGCCTGTGTCAGTCAGTCCCCGCTGCTGCCTGGCCCTGCTCTGACGAGGGTCCCCACGGGCAACCTCAGATCCTGTTTAACCAAACGAGGCTGGGCAGGAGCTTCACCAAGGATGGTGTGAGTGTGTCCCTGACCGGAACCTCCACGATGAGCGTCGACATTCCCGCCATCGGCGCCACCATCACCTTTGACGGCCGCATCTTCCACATCCGGCTGTCCTACAGCCACTTCAACCACAACACAGAGGGCCAGTGCGGTGAGTGGGCCTGGTCCCGCCCAGCCGCCCTCCTCCCTGGGCCCCTCGGGCTGCTACCTGTTCCTCTCCAGGCCAGAGCTGCCCCTGTGCTCCATCGACAGGGAGGGAACGGGGAGGGGGAGCGCATGAGGGACTGAGGGACCCCACCACCCCCAGGAACCTGCACCAACGACCGGAGAGATGACTGCCGCCGGCCAGACAGCACCATGGCCCCCAGCTGCCAGGACATGGCCCAGGCCTGGCTGCTGCCTGGGATTAGTCAAAACTGCTCTGTACAGTCCAGCCCGGCCCCAAGCACCAGCCCCACACCCACCAGCCTCATGCCCACCGTGTCCAACGCGCTCACCTCTATCCCGTGCCCTCTCAAAAACCTCTGTGAGGTGATGCTGAGCAAGTGAGTCACTGGCCTGGGGGCAGTGGGCGCGGGCGGTGGCCGTGAGAGCCAGGCTCCCCGCTGGCCACTGACCACTCCCAACCCCGCCGCAGGGTCTTTGCCAACTGCCACAGACTCATCCCACCTGGTGCCTTCGTTAGCACCTGTGTGCACGAGAGCTGCCAGACCAGCAACCCCGAGGCGCTCTGCCAGAACCTGGAGGCCTACGCAGGGCTCTGCCGTGCCCGGGGAGCATGCGTGGACTGGCGCAATGCCACCGGCGGGCAGTGCGGTGAGCCGGGGTGGCCCCGGACCCCAGCCTCTGGGCCCATGGAGCAGCTCATGATTGCTGTCCCTGTGCCCACAGACTTCTCCTGCCCTCCGTCCAAGGTGTACAAGTCATGTGGCCCCCTGCAGCCCCAGTCCTGCAACTCCAGGTAGGTGCCAGCTGGTGCGGAAGGTGTGAACGGAGCTGGAAGACAGGATGGATGGTGTCTGAGCTGAAGTCCTGTACACGCCTGCCCCCCCCCAGCCTCCCTGGACCCCCCAGCCCTGACTCCAAGCTCCAACGCCCCTTTCAGACAGAGCCCAGGAAAGACAGGACACCTGGCCGACCCCAACCCCTGATGGCAATATGTGGGCTGCCTCAGGCTGCCGCCTGGCCACAGGGTCAGAGTCCTCTGTGTTCTTATCCTTCAGGACCCAGAGCTCCGAGAACCGGGGGCTGGTTGAAGGCTGCTTCTGCCCCGAGGGTCAGGTCCTCTTCAGCTCTAGCATGGACATCTGTGTGTCTGAGTGCCGTAAGCGCTGCCCACCCACAGCTAGACATGTCCCCTGTCCCCTTACAAGCCCACTGCACTGTGCCAGACTCTCAGCGGTCCTACCCCAGCCCCATCTCACTGGCTCGATGCCCCCAAACCTCCCAGGGGGCATCCTGGTGGGAAGACAGGGGCTCTGGCCCGGGGTCTCGGGCAGCACGGCCTAGGCCACAGTCCCCTCGGCCTGTGGCCCTCTGTGCCAGCCCCAGCCTGTGACATCACCAGTGATTCCCCCTTTCCTTCCAGCCTGCGTGGGACCAGACGGGTTCCCCAAGCTCGTGAGTGGCTCTTCCTCCACCTTCTCTATCTGAGCAGAGGGAGGGAGGGGAGAAGGGTGGCCGGCTCTGCCGGGTGGGCTCCCCTGCGTCCCCTGGGCAGCAGAGGGGTGGAGCTGGAAAGGCCAAGGACTCTGTCCTGAGCCTGTCCTGGCTCCTTGTTCTGTCCCAGCCAGGGGAACGGTGGGTCAGCAACTGCCACACGTGCCAGTGCGAGGTGAGCTCGGTGACAGTGCAGTGTGAGGCCATGCCGTGCGAGCCCCCGGACCTCCCCCTGCAGTGCAGACAGGCCGGCTTTGTGACCCTGACCAGGCCCCAGGCCGACAACCCGTGCTGCTCCGAGACACTGTGCGGTGAGCCCCACCAGCCGGGGTCAGGGGGCAGAGCAGGCCAGCACTGCCAGTGGGCACAGGTGGCGGTGTCTCGGCATGACCTGGTGAGGGATCTGGAGGGGAACTCGGAAGGGTCAGGAGGCCTACCAGCCTCCGAGACCGTCAGGGAAGGAGTGAGGTGGCGGCAGGCCGGCAGGCCGGACCCTGACGGGGAAAATTCTCCACAGTCTGCAACACGACCACCTGTCCCCAGAGCCCACCCGTGTGTGGGCCTGGCCAGGAGCTGATCAGAGTCCAGGAGGAGGGTGGCTGCTGCCCCAGCTTCACCTGCAGTGAGTGGGCGGGGAGGGGCGGGGAGGGGCGGGGCAGGGAAGGGGAGGGTTGGGCCATGGCCGGGCACCACAGGTCCCTTGGACTGGACCTTGCTGGGTTCATGATGGAGGAGCACAGCTCCCCACTGCTGGCCAGCCACACTCAGCCCACCCCCCCTTTTCTTTCAGAGCCTAAGCTGTGTGAGTACAACGGCACAGTCTATGGGGTAAGTAAGGGCTCAGCCAAGACCCACGGGGCGGGGACAGGGATGGGCGGGGTGGCAGGCTCCAGCAGGGTCCAGCGGGGCAGGAGGGAGGCCAGGTCAGCAAGGGGCTGTGGGGTCCAGGCAGCCCCCTCTACCAGAGCTGCACAGCTGGGTCCTGAGCCTGTTGCCGGAGTGCTGAGCTACAGGGCCTCCCAGCAGGAGAATGTGGTGGGGCACCGCTCACACCGGGCCCTGCCAGCCTGGACCCTGCTCGGCCAGGGACACTCGACTCCCAGAAAACAATAGCTTTGTGGGCCCAGCCTGGCCCCAGGAGGGACCCCCATGGCTCGGTGCACCCCATGCACCGCCCCGTGGCTCTGCGCACCCCCCCCCTTCTGCAGGTTGGGGCAAGGTTCCCTGCAGTCACTCCTTGCTACACATGCACCTGCCTCTCGGAGGACATCCGGGCACCGACTGTCCAGTGCGAGAAGGAGGCCTGCTCCACCACCTGCCCTCAGGTGAGCCTGCAGGGAGCAGCCCCCCCTCAGCCCCCACCAGCAGCGTGGGCCCGTCAGCCTCTGAGGGACAGGGTCTGGGCTTTGTTTGCCCCAAATCAGCAGGAAGGTAAGAAGGCCTGGGGGGACAGGAGCGGTGGACAGAGACAAGACGCAGGAGGTGGGGTGTGGGTGCAGCATGCCGGGCGGGGACCAGGAGGGCCTGCTGAGGACACACGGACGGGGTGACTGGGCGGGGTGGAGGCTGACTGATGGACGGGGTGGAGGCTGACTGATGGAAGGGGTGGAGGCTGACTGATGGACGGGGTGGAGGCTGACTGACTGATGGACGGGGCGGAGGCTGACTGACTGATGGATGGGGTGGAGGCTGACTGACTGATGGACGGGGCGGAGGCTGACTGTCTCCCGGTCCCCACAGGGCTTCAAGTACTCCAGGACGCCGGGGCAGTGCTGCGGGGAGTGTGTGCAGGCTGCCTGCCTCACCCCGGAGGGCCGGCCGGTGCAGGTAACAGGAGAGGGCGGTGGGGTGGGGAGACCCCCCCCAGGCTCAGCCCTGAACTAATCCCCTCCCGGGCACCCCCTTCCGCCTTGCTTTGCAGCCCAACCAGACCTGGGTCAACAGCGAGGTGAACAACTGCACGGAGTACCGCTGCCAGGAGGAGGGGGGCGTCTACGTGCTGACCCCGCAGCCCACACACTGCCCCGACGTGTCCAGCTGCAGGGTGCGTGTCTGGGAGGCCCTGCTCCAGGCTGGCCCGTCCTTGTCATGCTCTGAGTCCCCCACCCACCCCCGACGTCCTAACTGCACCCCAACCCCCACCCACTGTCCTCCGCCCTGCAGGGGATCCTCAGGAAGAGGAACTGCTGCTACTTCTGTGAGGAGGACAGTAAGTGGAGGCCGCCTTCCCGCCAGCCCCTGCTCAGACCTCTCCCCCTGGGGGCCAGCGGGACCCAACCAGGGCAGCAGGAGGGAGGCTGTGAGGGCTGGGGTCTGCATCTGCCTCCTCTTCCCAGACTCATGTCAAGTCCACACCAACATGACCATCCTGCGGCACCTGGGCTGCACAACCGAGGCCATGGTGAAAGTCACCTTCTGCGAGGGCTCCTGTCCTGGACTGTCCAAGTGAGTGGGCCACCCTCAGTCACCAGGGCCCCTGCTGATGGCCCTTTCCAGGCCAGGAGGCCACGCCTACCACAGGAAGAGGGACAGGACTTCTCTGTGCCTACCCGCACCAAAGCCTAGGGCCAGCCTCCCAGCCAGACCAGAGGCAAGCTAGGCTCCGCCATATGGGACAGGTAGACTTGGAGCCCTCTGTGGGCCTCCAGGCCAACTGTGAAGAATGGCAGGAAAGCTGGGGCCCTGGGCCAGAAGAGACAGGAGGAGGAGTCGGGCCATCCCAAGAGCTCAGGAAGGTTCTCAGAGTAGAGCCTGCCCAGAGGCAGCAAGCTAAAGGAGCTAGCCAGTCGGAGGAGGCAGAGCAGGTTCAAAGCAAGTCTGAGTGCCCAGAGAGCCCAGGGAGGGGTGCTGTGTGCTCAGGGAGCAGCCCCCGCGGACAGAGCGGGCAGCTGTGAGCCTCGGAGCCCAGGAACAGCTTCGGCTCTGTCTGCAGGTACTCAGCTGAGGCCCAGGCCATGGAGTACTTTTGCCCCTGCTGCCAAGAAAGCAAGGCCCACGAGGTGACCGTGGCCCTGCGCTGCCCGGATGGCTCCACCATGCCATACACCTACACCCATGTGGACAAGTGCAGCTGCTCCCTGGCCTGCAGCTCCCAGCCCATGGCTCCCGTGGGCACCTCCGTTTAGGGGCTGCTGCCCCATCCCTCCTGCCCCTCCTGAAGCCAGAACACGCATCACTGATATGGAACCCCTGGGCCGGCTTGCTGGGCCTCTGTGGGTCGCACCACCTCTGCCCCGCCTTCCGCCTGCCCCTCAGTAAACTGGGTCTCTGGTGGTGGCGGGCCCGTGAGGATCCACTTGAGGACGGCACTGGTGGCGATCTGCCCCCAGGAGACCCTGACACCCAACTCCTGGCCCACCCCGCCCACCCCTCCGTGGTGTCCTCCCGACACCTTAGAGCAAAGCCCAGAACCTGCAGCACCACTTCCCACTGCAAGTCCCCCTGGAGCCAACAGGGGCCTGGCCAGGCCAGCTGTGTCCGGCAGTGGCCGCCTGCCAGGCCTTTCCCCCTCACCCTGCCACCGCCGCCTGCTAGAGGAAGCTGGGACTGGACCAGGAGAGGGGCCAGCCCTCGGCACCCACTGCTTATCCAGCCCCAGCTGCAATAAACCCTAGCACTGTGTGCATGTTACCCTGGTGTCTTTTCCTGCCAAGGATGGGGCTTGGACAATCCACAGAGCAGATTGCGGGCAGGAGGGCTTGACCCTCTGCAGGCCCTGGGCACCTCAGGGGCAAGTCTCAGGCTGGGCCCATGCCCGGCCTAGCCCTCTGTGGACATGGGCAGCACGAGGAGGCGGCCCCCATGCAGGCGGAGGAGCCTGAAGCCCGGGGACAGCCCAGGCGCCTGTCAGTGCAGAGCCGTTGTCCTGGGCAGCGTGGAGGGATGCACGGTGTGGCTGACATCTCTGTGGCAGAACGGGCCCAGGCCCCAGCACACAGCCCTGGGTGTGTTTCCTCGGTACACCTGTCACGGTCAGCTTGCTGCACACGTGGCCACCCTCATCCCTGCCCTTTCCGGAGAGAAGAATTCTCCATAGACATGGCAGGGAGTCATGGAGGCCGGGGACAGGTGGGGCTCACTGGTGGGGGCTGTAGGTGGCAGACAGGGACCCACTTGGTGCAGGACACAGACAGTGCCTGTGGTGTGGCTGTGCAGAAAGGGTGGGAAATGACCTCCAAGGCAGCGTATGGTTGTAAGCGGTAAGCAAAGGTAAATGCTGACCACCAGCCAGGGAAGCATCTGACGAGGGAGCCAGGGTTTGTGTGTGGAAGCGTCTGGCAGGGAGGAGGGGGGAGCTGGGAGGCCTCTCCTCTCTCTGAGGGTGTGAATGCAGTGGGACCCTGCTCTTGGAGGGTTGTGCAGGGTCTGACTTTCCTTCCTGGCCAGGGTCAGTGCTCAGGCCTGCCTTTCCTATCTGCCTAGTGATGTCAGGCAGGCAGGCTACCTGGACATAATGGACACGGTCCAAGGGCTAAGGGTGCAGGTAAGGTGTGAGGCAGCAGCAGGCTCCAAGGTCAGCTTCTTGGAGCCAGGCCACAGGCAAACTATGTCCTCGACCCTGGTTACTCTCTCAGGACACAGGCCTGGGCTACCGGCTCGGGGCAGCATCTCCATCCTTAAAGGAGGGTACCAGCCTTTAATCCTAACCTAACAGTGTGCTTTCACTTCTGGGGTGAGGAAACCGGTGCAAAGAGACCAGGAAGTACTACGGAAGAGGCAAGGTTGGCTCCAGCCAGGCTAGTGGGCTCAGGTGCACCGCAAGCCATTGTCCCTGGGGAGACAGGGACAGGGGTAAGATGGACAACCAAACAGTACTATTTGACTACTTTTAAGGACTTTGGTGCTGGGCACCGGCAGCTCATGCCTGTAATCCTAGCTCTTCAGGAGGCTGAGATCTGAGGATCATAGTTTGAATCCATCCCAGGCAGGAAAGTCCATGAGACATCTCCAATGAACTTTCAAAAAACTGAAAAGAGCTGTGGCTCAAGTAGTAGAGTACTGGTCTTGAGCAAAAATAGCTCAGGGACAGCACCCAGGCCCTGAGGTCAAGCCCCAGGCCAAGATCAGCAAAAAAAAAAAGGAAGAAAGGAAGGAAGGAAAGGAGGGAGGGAGGGATATTTTTTAAAAGTTTTAAAAAAGGACTTCCGGTTTCTAGATGGAAAAGCAGGCGTTTCTCCTCCACAGACATCTGATAAAAGTGACAGAAACACTGAAACTGCAGCTTAAAAAAATGACAGTAACTATCATAAAAGCAGACAGATGCCATGGAGACAGGAAGGGCCTGGGGCCCAGAGCCCTTCTTGATAGACAACATGCATATAGCCCCAAATTGCCACGTGCTCCAGGGTCCTGAGAACCAGCTAAACCAAAAGGGTAGTGAAAGACTGCACATCCAGGCTCACTGGTTCAACAGGAGGGTCTGTCCTCTCTCCTTAAGATTTAAAGATATTTAAGACAGACTTGAAAATTTTTTTCTAATGAGCTCCAAAAAGCAAGAGCGGGGGGTTGGGGGGTTGGGGGGGAGAGGAGAGAGCATGCGTGCACACATAGGGGAGAGGGAGAGAGCATGCATGCACACATATTCCAGGGGTACCACCAGTCTTACAGGACTAAGAAGCAATGAGAGACTAGAACAAGTAAATCCAACCCGGATGCTGGGGAAGAAGGCCACAGAGATCAAGTCAAAGCTGCCAGAAGGATCAGGCTGCTTACACACCCCAGCCCTGTCCTGCGGCAAAGAACATTATCACCTGGGATATTTCCTGCAGCTCTACAGCTTTTAAAGTTCTGAGGCCAGGGGCTGGGAAGGTGGCTCAGTGGTAGAGCGCTTGCTTTGCATACATGAGGCCCTGGGTTCGATTCCTCAGCACCACATAAGCAAAAAGAAAAAAGCCAGAAGTGGTGCTGTGGCTCAAGTGGTAGCCTTGAGCTGAAGAGCTGAGGGACAGTGCCCAGGCCCAGAGTTCAGGCCCCACGACCGGACACCCCCCCTTCCCCCCCCCCCCAGCCAAAAAAGTTCTGAGTCCAACAGTGGTGTGACACAGGAGTCTGACCCTCCTACATAGGAAATGTGTGGGGTGAGCTGTGTCATCTACCTGGAAGGCCTGTCTGCAGTGTGGACCTGGCCTTCAAGGCTCAGGTCAGCAAGGACATACCAGCTGACCCAGGGGTGATGTCCAGGCTCTGTTCATCCACACTGTGGAGTGGATGCCACCTGCTGGCCACTCAGTATCTGTGGAGGCTGCAGCAGGAGGATCATGAGTTTGAGGCCAGGCTGTGGGTTACACAGCCCCAAACGGCAACCTAAAACAGGAGAGGACCCTGCCCTGGGCTGCCCTCTAAGCCTAGTGCTCCCACCTGCCAGCACTAACGGAACCTCACGCTCCTCACGTTACGGGGAAACTTCAGTGTGGAGGCCTGGCCCACCCCCTGGCCACAGCAAGCCAGCCCAGTCCGCTGGGCACAGCTCAGGGTTGGGCCCAGACCTGCCACTCACACACCCCTGCTTCCATGTTTGGGCCCTTTCTTGTCAATAAACCTTGGCCATGGGTCCTGCTTCTACAAGGATTGCTGGACAGAAAGGTACCATTCACAGAGGCTGTGGAAGTTATTTGTAAAAATAACAATTGCACCAGGCACCAGAGGTTCATGTCTGCATTCCTACTCAGGAGACTGAGATCTGAGGATCATGGTACAAAGCCAGCCCAGGCAGGAAGTTCGTTAGATTCTTATTTCCAATTAACCACCAAAAAGCCACACTTGGAGCTATGGCTCAAGAGTGCTGGCCTTGAGCACAAAAGCTCTGGGACAGCTCCAAAGCCTGGCGTTCTGAGATGTGAGGATCACAGTTCAAAGTGAACCAGGGCAGGAAAGCCTGTGAGACTCTTCTCTCCAATTAATCACTAAACATAAGCCAAAAGTGGAGCTGTGGCTCAAGTGGTAAAATGCTAGCCCTGAGCAGAAAGAACTCAGGGACAGCACCCACCTGAGTTCAAGCCCCAGGACCCGCACAAAACCAACCAAACACAAACCCCTTATGGGAAACAAACAGTGGCACATACTGTTCAAGGGTTGAGGGCTCAGGTGCTGGGGTGCTTCCACTGAACCCCGCGATGCTGCTTCCTGAAGTTCGCGAACGCTTTGCTGCAGGTGCATGCTGGGCAGGTCTGTGGGCGATAGAATCCTTGGGGCACTTTGGCTCCTGTGGATCAGATGGAGGAGGCTGGGCTGTGATCTGAGTTCTGGCAGTTCTCTCTCCTTATAGGTGGCTTTTTTCCCCCAGCTCATCCTGGCAATAAAAGGACCATATTCCAGCCCTGTACCCCAGGCCTCCTCGTCCACTCAGGTGCCCGCAGCCCCCTGCCCTGCACCCCAGGCCTCCTCATCCACTCAGATGCCCGCAGCCACCCTGCCCTGCACCCCAGGCCTCCTCGTCCACTCACAGACACCCGCAGCCCCCTGCCCTGCACCCCAGGCCTCCTCATCCACTCATAGACGCCTGCAGCCCCCTGCCCTGTACCCCAGGCCTCCTCATCCACTCAGATGCCCGCAGCCCCCTGCCCTGCACCCCAGGCCTCCTCATCCACTCATAGACACCTGCAGCCCCCAGCCCTGTACCCCAGGCCTCCTCAGCCACTCAGATGCCCGCAGCCCCCTGCCATGCACCCCAGGCCTCAGGCCTCTTCATCCACCCAGGGATACCTATAGGGGAGGGCAGTGTACCATGTCCTCTGGAAGCAGTGGCAAATGGGAGACCAAACCCCATTTCCAGCCTGTTAAAACCCATGCAATTCCCCTTGCTCGGGGAAATGCAATTTTCTCAAGAGCTCAGCTTTGAACTTAAAGGCTATTTCTCCCTGTGGCAACTGTGGCATGAGTCCCTTTAGGAATGCGTCTCTGCATCATGGCCAGTACTAACACACGTACAGCTTTTGTCAGGTGTTTTGGACCAAAAACCACCTGATACTTAAGACCCCTGCTGCCGACAGACGACGGGCTGACAGATGGACGGCTGCACCAGTTCTGACCGGAAGTGAAGGCCCATGCTGGGTGCGGCGCACCAGCTCGCGCCCAGTCTGCCCTTAGGCTTGCCTTCCCGAGGCGTCTTATACAACCTGGAACAAGG